AAATACGTTAATAATTTTTAAAGGAACACGCCACTATTTTTGAAAATAGGCTAATTTTCCAACTCCCCTAGAGTTAAACAGTTGAGTTTTACCGTTTTCGACCATTTTCAGCCGATCTCCGGGTCTGGCGGTAGTACTTTTAGCTGTAGCTTAGCATAGATCATTGAATCTGATTAGACCGTTAGCATCTCGCTCAAAAATGACCAAAGCGTTTCTATATTTTTCCTATTTAAAACTTAACTCTTCTGTAGTTACATCGTGTACTAAGACCGACGGAAAATGAAAAGTTGCAATTTTCTAGGCCGATATGACTAGGAACTATACTCTCATTCCGGCGTAATAATCAAGGAACTTTGCTGCCGTACCATGGGTGCAGATCTTCCCAAAAAAGATCTGGCCAAAAAGATCTTCAATGAAACTAGCTATACCACACACAAACTCTCATTCCGGCGTAATAATCAAGGAACTTTGCTGCCGTACCATGGTTGCAGCAGGCGTAATGATATTACGCAGCGCCTGAAAATAGGCTAACTTCCGTCAACATAACCAACGTGACCACCTGCGTGCACAGGGAGCGTGCTGGGGACTATTTTCAGACGCTGCGTAATATCATTGCGCCTGCTGCACCCATGATACGGCAGCAAAGTTCCTTGATTTTTACGCCGGAATGAGAGTATAGTTCCTAGCCATATCGGCCTAGAAAATCACAACTTTTCATATTCCGTCGGTCTTAGTACACGATGTAACTACAGAAGAGTCAAGTTTTAAATAGGAAAAATATAGAAACTCTTTGGTCATTTTTGAGCGAGATGCTAACGGTCTAATCAGATTCAATGATCTATGCTAAGCTACAGCTAAAAGTGTTACAGCTAGACCCAGAGATCGGCTGAATGGATTCGAAAACGGTAAAACTCCACTGTTTAACTCTAGGGGAGTTGGAAAATGAGCCTATTTTTCAAAAATAGTGGAGTGTTCCTTTAATGTTTTTTTTTAAATAATTTTTATTTACTTAATTTTTGCTTTTTAGAATATATATATATATATTTTCATAATCATTTAAATAAGACCAGGAATGTAAATTAAGAAATCAAATGAAACTTCAGTGGTAATTAACTTTTTTTGGTAACACTTTACAATAAGGTTCATTAGTTAAACATTAGTTAATGTATTAACTAACATGAACTAACCATGAGCAATACATTTGTTACTGTATTTACTAATCTTCACTAACGTTAGTTAATACAAATACAGATGTTCATGTTAGTTCACAGTGCATTAACTAATGTTGACAAGATTTTAATAATGTGTTAGTAAATGTTGAAATTAACATTAACAAAGATTAATAAATGCTGTATAAGTGCAGTTCATTATTAGTTCATGTTAACTAATGAACCTTATTGTAAAGTGTTACCCTTTTTTTTAATAAGGTCAAAAGTCTAATTTATTTGGAATACAATTGAAATCTTATGATCACAGTCAAAAAAAAAATAATGACTTCTTGGTAAACATTCCCATTCTGTAAAAATGCTCTTTCATACAAATTAGCCAACAGTTTGCCAAAACAAAAAATAGTCTCACATTGGCATGAGTTTGTGTTGATTAATTAATGCTTTTGTAGTACATTAGATGTATAAGATCTAACACTTTATTGTTTTCATGTTTTAATTTTCTTTCATTTTGCTATTTATTTTTTATAATGATGATCATATTTAATAATAATAATAATTTCCTTCATGTTATCTCTATCACACAGACACACTTTCTGTTTCACTCTGTTGTGTCTCTCTGTTTTATTGGATGTATATTTCAGTACTGAGGATGGATGTATGCCTGCTGTGTGTGAGCATATGTGTGTGACCTTAAACTGCAGGTCAGAAGGGACAGGCTATCAACGTAAGGTACACCCGTGCCCATGCCTCAGTCATGCTATGCCCAGCCTGCACTTCCCTTCATTCTGTCATTTAGCCCATACCCATAAAGCTCTTGACAAGTTATTATCAGCCATTAAAGCAATTAATGACCCTCTGGAGGCTTGTGGCTCTAATTGGCATTTGCCAGCAACTGTGGCTGTCATGTGTTTTGGGATTGGGAATTGCAACCAGCAGATCTCAGATCAGTTTCTCTGCTGATATAATGTATAATATTATGATCTCATCTCAGAGCATTATTTCTCTTCTTAGATATACTACATGTTCAATGCCTAAGGAATTTATGCATACTAAATTTCACTGCGTTTGATGCAGCTTTTTTTTTCTTGCATAGGTGTTTGTCTACAGTGGCTTCAACAAATATTTTGACACTAAAGCCATACTTTGAAATGCATGAATGTCACTGCATTATATAACAGTTTAACCAAGTAGTATTTATTTGAACTATAATTGTTTAACTAGCTGTAATCATACACATGACTGCATTTTTCCAGGTATTTTTTTCCTTGATGATCTCAAGAGATTTTCCTCTAGGCAGGACTGATCAGAGTTTACTGATGACATCACCGCAGTAAAAGTGTCAGGTCAGTAATCTGAGGCATAGATCTGGAAATGATTGATTCTGGACCAAATTATTAATTTTGAGGGCAGAGGAAAATGGCTTTAATTACTGGGTAATGTGATATTTAGCTTGCTTTTATGTGTGTTAACGTGTGTTGTTTAAGAGTTTTTTTTGCTAAGATGTGATACGAACAGTCTTGATTCTAATGCTAATGACTTTCAAGGGTGTTTAACACCAACTTGAACACCAGCACTTCTAGCAGGACACAATTCCTGTATTACAAGAACTTGTTGCATTCTCATAGCTAGCACATCTAATAGTGTGCAATAGCATAAACCATCTTCTATTATCAATTTCCTTTTTCAGTTCAAATTTTGTCATGGTGAATCAAAAGCATTAATCTGCATATTTTTGTAGAGTGCCTTACTGTCTTAATGTTTGCAGACTTACATAAGTCATTATACTTGGACTGAATGACTACAGTAAATATATGAGGAATATTCACAAACTCAGTTATTATCCAAACACAGATCCCAAGAGGATTTTTTTTTTGGCAGTAAAAAATGCAGTAAAAATATATTGCAGCTCTATAACATGTGGTTGAATCATTTTGCTTACCAGGAAATACCTTTGTAGCATGTCCAGTTTTGGACTCTTAAAGCAGCATTTAGGTTGATTTGACTTGTTTGAATTACCTCAAGACCACATATATACATGCAAGCATGCACAGTAAATGCAGATCTGTGAGAATGCAACATGTACTATGAATTGTGTTTCAGGATGCAACAAAATGTGAAATCAAATTTGCATAGCTAGAAGCATTTGAGTTTGCTAACTTGGGCAGATTATGTTTTGGGCCTCTGTAGTATCTAATCATTATTAACTTCTGAAAGTATAATTCCTCTCTTGCTGTTATGTAATGTGCTGCAGCAGGAAACGCATGGCAAGACATCTGAAGGGCTCCTTACTGGTTGTCTTTCCTTTCTGACATCACAGGTGTGTTACTGGGCAACTCTTACACATTCAAGCGGTTACCCATGCACTTCTACAAACAGCAGGTGACACAGTCTGAGATGATCTGAGATCAGCGTTCACTTTGAGAGCTTTATATAGCCAAGTTGTCGGTGTTCTGCTATCCAGGATTAGGCTTCGGTAATTCAGCAATTCCATAGAGACGTCTTTGTGACGTCATGGAGAATGCCCAGCTGCCCATTTAACCCTTTGACTTTATCATTTCTTTAGAGTAATCAATGCTAAGGCATCGCTATTGCTATTACTTTTGTACACAGCTTGCCCCAGAATATCATAAAGACTTGGGTCTTTGGTCTGCAAGTATCTGCCTAACTCCCACAATCACCACTCACACAAACCTCAGGTTTTAAAGAACACTAGGGTGGTGGTTAAAGCTCAGGGCTGGTAACCAGAAGGGTGCTGGTTCGAACCCCACAAGTGAGCAATGAGCTCTCACTATAGGCATTAAAACCCAGGTTACTCCAATAATAATAAATCCATATGGCGTGCTATGAAGACCTCACATGAAAGTTGTGAACATCTATATCTAAAGACCTCATTAAGATGCTGTTCCGTGCTTACACTTAGGTGTTATGGAGCAGGAAATACTTTATTACTAATTTACAGATTCAGAGTGAGACAGAGAGAGATGCTCCCTGGACATCACATGCCCCCCATCAGCGCTCCACTGACACGTCTAAGATTTCTGGCACCAAAACAACGTCACGCTTCCTATTTCAGGCACAGGTGCAACATTTCAGCAGCGGGTCGAGTAACTGCGAGAGCAGGACTGAGAGAGATAGTAAGGCATGGTAATAGCAGGTTACATTAGGACTCTGAATGAGGAATAGGATGCTTCCTGATAGCTTTTAGTAACAGCGCAAGAGCAATGTTAATACTGTTAATATTGCTTAACAAGGAGCTAATTAAAGAGAGGCCTTCTTACTATGTTGGCATGAAACATCTACTTTTGCTTTTTTTTGTTTTTGTGAAAGGAGAAGTGATGTAAGAAATTGTCTAATGTTTTACCCCACTCGTGTCACATTTTCAGGAAACTATACTAGATTTTTACATTTCTGAAGAACATTTGAGTGGTGCATGACCTTGGAGAAGTTGCTGATATGGTAGTAGGATATTATACGTGGTCGCTATGTGGTTAATAAGGTTGTTAACACATAGGTTAACACATTTGGTTGCTTACTCTTCCAAGTCAAAAGAACCCACTCCCAAGTCTTTATGACTATCTAGTCCCTAGATGACTCTGTTTGCTCCATAAGCCTATAGGTTTGTTGTCTGATTTGTAGTCCATCAGGTGAAAATGAGCTTGTCAGATTGCAAAGAAAAATGATAGCACAGTGAGCAGAAAAGGAATATTAGTGCTAACATTAGCAATCACCACAAAATAAAAATAAAGCATATGGAGTCTAGAGTTCAAGAGTTCCACTAACTTGTCAAAGCACTTGCATTTATTATCTAGAGAAAAAAAAAAGCATCACGTTTTTGTAAGGGTCACATATCACAATAATAAATAAACATTCCAAAAGCATTTCTTCATATTATTGTCAAAAGATATAATGTACTTTTCACAGATGTTGAACTTAAAGAATAATTCACTTCATTTGGCTTTTTTTTTTTTTTACAAGGCTGGAGAATGCAGACATGTTACCATACACCGAGTAGTTACAGCCCACGTCAGGTGCAGTCAAATAAGGCTTTATAAGGAAAAAAAACATTATGAGCCCGTTATCATGTCAATATTATGAAGCACTAATGCAATACTGAAATGGACTTTATGACAGAACATCAAAACGTTTGCACACGCCTTTACAGTTTATGCATAATAGATAAGGCTCAATAACTCGTTGCCATGTATGTTTAAATACATGTTATGCCTGTTGCAAACATGCATATATGGTTACAAAAATGTCCTAAATGGCACCGCAAGAACTGCACTGTACACAAAGCACTCTGGGAAATAGAAAACAGAATAAAAGAATAGAAAATTTAATGAGAATGACAGAAAGAAATGAAGAGAAAAGGCAATGAAGGGTTCATAGGCACAGAAGTTCACCAGGTTAGAGAAGGTCCACTGGAGTTTCTTTCCAAAGCACTTCAAACAGCGCAGCGTTAAATGAAAGCAGTAACCTTTTGAAGTTATTTAAGGAAAATACCACAGGCCATTTTAGTAGGCTGCAATAAGTTACGTTCATGTGGTGGTGTTGGTTATATATACAAAAAAGTAGATTGTGTTCTACAAAAGGTCAAAGTTTAGTTTATGCCATTGGGTGAAAGTGTCCTTTAAAGCTTGTTGCATCCTGGTCACATGATGACAGTTTCTGTGTGCCGGGAATATGAATTCAATAATTGTTTGGCGTTCAGGCCAGGGCTTGTTGGGCCGGATGTGTGGGCAATTTTGCTTGGGTGAGTATGCTTAACCCATCTGGATGGACGACGTTGATTGGCTGGTCGAGCAGGACGAGAAAAATGGCTACTGCTAGGCGCAGGAGATGACTCCCGGTTGACCTGGAGAGAAAATTTTTTAATGTAAGTGTCTTTCTGGAAAAATGATCAATACTTGGGTGAATCTACTTGTATTTTATGTACCAAGATGTTATGACTTTATTTGACAAATAAGCAGAAACAGAAAGCAAAGTAGCGGAATGGAAAGATTGGAGAATGGGATCAGGATCACCACAGCTCCTTTGCATCAAAAGCAACATTCCTCATTCTTGGTCCTGGAGAACCACTTTCCTGTAGAATTTATATACAATTTTAATTAACTAATCAAGGTCTTTGTGTTTACCTGAAAAGCAAATGTTTTAGAGCACACTTGGAAATATACTCTTCATGAAAGTGGCTTTCCAGAATCAGGAATGAGGAACACTGGACGAGAGCATGTGCACCATGACTCAGACAAAATATAAATACTGCATTGAAATTTAGAGTGTGTGCTGATCATATCTATACCCTCTTCACCTGCTTGTTGTCCAGTTGCTGGGTGAATGTGGCCCTCTGACTTCTGTTGTTCTCCATTTCCATCACTTCCAGAAGTTGCTCCAAGTTGTCATTTCCCCGTCTCATCATTTTGACACCAAGTCCTCTGTGTACCTTATTGAAGTTTTGAGATCCTACTCCCAGAATCCTTTCTACCATCGGGCAGTCAGAGAAAAGGTCCTTACTCTGGAAGCCCGCTTTGTGGGCTTTAGACATTGAAGCCACCTTGTGATACCCCGAATTAAGGTGAGGCTGTGACTGGCTTAAGTTACAGGCCAAGCCATGCTGTTCAAGAACACAACCACCCCTCCCACTGTCTCTGTCTCCATTGAGGAGGTGTCTAGAAGGACCAGCTGCCCAAGACTCCTGGCTGTGCTCCAGATCTGCTACCAGTACATCACAGTCTGCAAGGCATTTCTGGACGTGCGTGCGTGAGGATGCCTGCCTGGCATCAAACTTGCTCTGGCAAATGGGAGTGCTGGTTTGCCTCGGAGGTTCAGTGGTGACAACGGTGGTCATGAGACCATCCTCTATCAGGGTTTTTCCCTCGTTCTCCTGCAACATGGCACCAAACTTACGCAACACTGATGGGCTGCCAGATTTCCTGTCAAGCAAGAGGCACTTCCTGTCAGGTTGCTGTGATGACTCATGGTAAGTGAAACGAGGGGTTACAGGAGAAGAATCTCTCTGTCTGATTGCCAGTTTGGAAGCTGAATTTTTAGGGGGAAGGTCATTTGATGAAACCGGGTCTTTCCAGCTAACGTGGCGGGCTTGGGAGTCATCCCAACTTGATTTCTTGTTCTTTTTGTTCTCAGCCTCCTCAATCTCACCCAGAACCACACACGAGGCAGTCCTAAGGTGAAAAGATAAATCAATCAAGTAGTCACAAGAGGGAGCTGGGCAAACACTAAGCGTTGGTCTATAACCAACAAGAAACATGCACGATATTAGGACAACAATAGGAATGAATCTGATAGGTTGAGATTGGAAAGGCTTTACCTGTTTGTCGCCAGGCTGGTCTTCATGCTGTCTTGATAACTGTGTGTAACTGGATATACCTTGGGGTTCTGAATCAAAAAAAGAGGGAGATATGAAGGGATAAGGTGAAAAAGTATAAAGACAAATCCTTGAGGTATAAGAGTCCAGTTTGAGGAGATATTTATCAATAGTGAAAGAGGTACTCACTCTATTTGGAGCTCCAAGATTCCCTGGGTTCCTTCTAAAATGTGGACCCTGTTGGAGGTATCCATTGAGTATGTCTACGGTGGCATCTTGCCTTTCAAAAGCATGACAACTGGCAGGGTAATGGCTGCCGTTGCTCAGGGAATTAAGCATGTAATTGTTGGAGCCATTACAGTATTCACTGGGGTGGTGAAACCCAAGGCTTTGCATAACTGAAGGATCTGCTTTTATTTCACTGCATTGACAAATTGGGAGGCTGTTGTTGGGGTGAGGTTCGTGATAACAATTGGCCTGGTGGCTATACTGAGAGTTGACAGGAAGCAAAGTAATGTCCAGGTTTTTATTGTTTGTGATGTTGTTTGTGCTGCTCTCGCTGGCTTCTCTTCGTGCTTTGACCTCATTATACAACTGAAATACAATCACAATGTTAGAGACAAACTCAGCATTCATAAAGTATGATTTTTTTGCCCACCTACATTAAAGCAAATGTTTTAAATCCATAAGTCAGTGAATACAACTGACATAATGTACTGCATAGACTAGTTACGCAACATTTACATAAGTAAACAGCATGGGTTTCTTCTTTAGAATGGGTCAGTGAGAGGGAGGGCTTGCATGCTCAAAGGTTAATTAATCTACCAATAACAACATGCTTGCTTGGCCTGTTTCAGCAGGAATGCATTAACTTCCTGTGTTTTTGTGTGAGAGAGACTGTTTGTGAATGTTTGTAAGTAGCCTGTAACCCCTATCCTTTTGGGTTTAATAAGCTTGTTAACATCTGTCACAGTCATGGTGTTGTGGGGAAAGCACCTATTATTATATCCAAGAGATGCAGCCAACTTGGGCAACAGGGGGTCAAGATCCTTTCAGCCAATCACAATTCTAGTTCGTGCCCACTATCACAACTCCATGCAGAATTGCAGTGCCAGTGGAACTTTTGGCATGGTTTATCAGAGCATTATATTTTTGAAGTTTGTTTACATTTTCGAATAAGGATCTCTCTCTCTCTCTCTAGATATGGAGATGGTTGGATGGATATGGATTCTGTCATAATGACTGGTGTCACCTCTGTTGAAAATTTGTCTCACCTCTTCAATCTTCCTCTGCATGTCCTGTAGCTGATCTTCCCATTCCTGCATCTCGGAGTCAAAACTGTCAAGCAGGTCAGCTCTGTCTCCACCCCACACACAACTCCCAGGCTCCGGCCCACAGTGTAATTCCAATGCAGCCATTCTTCTGTGTATGTGTGCCTGTGCTCAGAATCTTACGCTGCAATTCCTGAAAGGTCACTGGAGTGGCCACATTGGCAAGTCCACCAACACCTCTATGAAGACAAAAGAGAAATTCATCAGTGAGAAATAGCCTATTCATTATTTAGAGTACTCTTAAGTAATCAGAGTATCTGGTAGTAGTTGGTTTCTCAAAGTAAATTAAGTGACTGTAAAAAAAAAAAATTCTACTGTCTACCGTGGCTTGCTTTACAGTTTAAGGGTGTTACGAGTGTGAACATAAGTGAAGTCTTCGTGATTGTATTGCATTCAAGGAGACAAATGGAAGGAAACAAAATCCCAGCTATTTGATCTGGACACCTGCTTTAAAGCTTTGGCCCATTTCTATATGCATTCCCTGTCCTTCAAACCAGCCCTTAACTGTCAAAATTGTCAGCACGTCCTTTAGACACCAACTTCATTAGACATGCTCAAGTTACCTAAAGGGACTTCAGGGATTCTAAAGTCAGTTTAATAACATGGACAGTCTCCTTGGAGTAAACCGATCTCTCTTGATCAAAGGCACAATAGTAAAAGGTAATTGGTCACCCCTTGCAAAACCTACAGCCAGCCTAGATCTTTAACTACAAGGTTACACTGCTTCTTTTGGGTTAGGGATGAGGTCAAAGTTCCAAGCAAGTGCAGAACCTTTTACCCACTTGGATGAGCTCAGAATAATTGCATCCTTTCCGTGGTAACATCCCTAAGTTTTTCTGTAACGCAGATTGGATTTACGGCAGGTATTAGGGATGGAATTTTCTTCTGTCAAGGAACATGACACCCAGTTTAACTCATGAAATTTCCAGAATATGCCACCATATGATGTTAGAATGGAAGGCTATTTATACCCTCTGTAATTATGTGTTATAAAACTAAAAATGAAATTCACCTTTTAATGAAAATAGATACACACTTACTCTCTATATGTAAAAGTAGCTGATCACAATAGTAGTAAATCTAAGTGAATTTACATTTCCATAAATTATTTACATATTAAGCACATATTGTTAGTTAGTATTCCTTGAGCAAGTATATGTACTTACATATGTCAATACAGTAATTTACTTTTACATTACTTTACTTTTAGTCTAAAGTGTGACCAATGAGGCTACAAGGTTCTTAATATTATATATCCATCATTTTCAGTCCAAGTGAAAGATCACAGAAAAGAGTTGTAAGTAGTAACAATTTAATACTTTAAAAGGTTTAAAAATTGAGTTTTCTGTTCTGTACTTGTATAATAAGCATTCTTAATCCTTACCGGTTAAATCTTATTACTTGTTCCTCCAGTATCTCCCTCTTATGAGTTTTTGATGAATTGAAACAGGTGCTCCAGAATATGAGTAGAATACGAGTAACCTGTTCAAATACAGGTTTGTTGCTTAAATCAAGATCTCGCTTGTTTCGGTACCGCCTTGCCTTTGACAGCTCCTGTACTCAAATGGGATGTAACTGTGCAAAGACCGCGAAGGCTCGCTTCCAACGGCGTGACGTAAAAGTCCTGCGTATTGGATCTTAAATGTTTCCTCTGTCCGGCCCTACGATCCTGTCCGGAGCTCAGGGGTAAACAACTGTAGTCCTGAGGGGGCCCCGGGGCTTTATAGTGACTCTAAGTATTTACCCCTGCGACATCAGACCTGCCAGGTGTCTGGTGTCATAATGTCAGATTTATTCCGGCATTCGTGGTCTCCATGCAAGAGACTGTCGTCACCGACATTCTAGGTTAAAATTACAAAGGCAGAGGGAGAGTGTTTACATGGCTATTTTAAAATGCCCAGTTCTACCCCACCTCTGTGAAACTGTCTTGTTGCTAGTCTGCTTTTAGGACTTGGCAGATAGTGGTCTTGTGACTCCTATTCCAGTTGTTTCAACTTCTACTAATGCCCACAGGCAACTGGGCTATTTGTGACTCTCAAAACACTCTGTCCATTTTATTTTTAAGATACCACTGGACAGAATTAGTGGATACTAAGTGTGATGTCCACAGTTCTTAATGGGCACCTCACACTTTTATTTATTTGACACATGTGGCTGTTGCACAATAAACAGGCGGCCGACAGTTCCACCCTAATATTGGCCGCTGACTCAAATAGTTTCCGGGCACAATAACGGAGAACAAGGAAAACAACAAAGCGAAAGCCTCTGAGAATGGAGACACAGTAGAACTGGCAAATTTTAATACGGAGTTGTATGTTTGATGTTTTTTCGCTAATGAGTTTATTTTCAGCTGGCAGGAAATTGAGAAGAAATGACTTGCAATTCCCACAAAGAGACTCACTCTAGAAAAACAGATGAGGTGTTGTTTTCTTGTCAATCGCCTAGACCCATCTAAACCAAAACAAATGAATTTGTTCTCCAAATAAATTGTGAACCCAACGCTTCAACAGATCTTGTTTTTGCAATTATTTTAATCTATTTACAGCTTTAATTATTTTACTAAGGAACTACTGCCGATAACTTGAAGACTCGGGTGCTTCAACTGGCACTAAAACTGGAGCTGCCAACAAGCTAAATAAACTCATAAAGAAAGCAAGCTCAGATTTTTAAGTTGCTTATCCATGACATGCTTGCAGGAATGAGGAGCACGTTCAGCACTAGACTGATCCTGCTCTGGTGCAACAGAGAGCGCAACAGAAGGTAATTTGTGCATACTGTCACCATGTACACAGGCACTTTATGTGAACTTGGACCCCCGTACACCCACCTCATCAAAGCCACAGCTGTTCTTTAGCAAACCACATGAATCTTTTTGTGCAGTTTTTTCAGATTATTGTGGAATCAATCAATCTATGCAAAACAGTTGTTCTTGTCACAGAAATTACACATGCAATCGGATGATTCCTGACATCTCCAGTCAAATATAAAGCCTGTTACTTATTCTCCATCCATACACATGTATGCATATTCTTTCTGACCTCTCGGAGTATACAGTTATATACCATGTTCTTACTCACCTTTGCATGTTTCTGACAGGTAATCATTCCAGCCGATGTACAGTATCTTTAGAGTGCATTGGCAGGCACTCTGGGTAATGTGGTAATGTGCCCCTTAGTAGTAAACTGCAGTTGCATATTTCATTGCAAGCCTTTTGGTGGCAAAGCAAGCGTCAGTGTGCCTGATAGCCATAGTCCTCAATTCAAGAAATGTCTTCTGGGTAATGTAGTTTCCAGTGGCTCAGTGTTTTATTATGTTGTGTAATAGTTTTTAGTTGCAAAAAAAAAAAGAAATCTCTTGTCTTGATGTACCTTCCAATGGCAGCCATACATATGTGACTTGGATAAAACAGTCTCCAGCTTTTTGGAAATTAAGGTTTTGCAGAATTCTGTGCTTAAGCGTGCTGTCTGTGCTTGGAAAGTGACCGTCCTGTGATTCTTCAACCATGGTGACATACACAACATTGACAAACAAAGAAAACAAAGGGGCGAGACTATGCTAATGAGTGGACGGATGGCGGTCACAGGACAAAAAAGAGGGTGAAAAGAAATACAAGTTTAAAAATGGTGGCATAAGAGAGTGAGGAGAACAACACTAGAATGAGGATGAATAAAATGATGGGCTGAAACATCTGGGTGAATAACCGGCAGGATTAACGAACATGCATTAAAAAACAGGGGTGCGTGGGAAGACAGGATAAGAGAGAAAGAGAGAAAGGTTTAGATATTATAGCCATTAACATTTTCTGTTTGCATAGTTTACAAACTATGCAAATCTTGGCAAATAAAAAAAATATGCTGCATTTTGCTAAATGTTAAAAGCAGTCAGGAGATGAACTCTGAAATATGTAGTGCTTTCTTGTTCTTCACTATCAAACTCACTCCCTTTAAAGGAATAGTTCACCTCATAATGAAAATCGTCATAATTTCCTGTGATTCTCTTTCCTTATGTGGAATTTAAAGGGGTCATGAACTGAGAAATCAAAATTCACTTGATCTTTTAACATGTAAGAGGTCATTGTACTATAAAAACATCCTGTAAGTTTCAGAACTCAAAACTTTCTCATTATTCTAAAACAGCTTATATTGAAGCCAATCTGCCAAAATGACAGTTTGTGGAATGTGACACTTTATGACGTAATAAGTGTCTAAACACCGCCTCCGCAGAAGAAAATAAATGCCTACTTCTACATCACTGCCTGTTTAGCTCGGCCCACCGATTCGCGCACATAGTGTACATAACTAGAGAGGCAAACGCAGATCTACAAAGAAACCAAATGACAAAGATGCTCCAAACACAACAAAACGCTGTTCAGTGCCAAGTTGTGGAAAAACAGTCTTTGCATCGCCTTCCTTCTGATCCCAACATTAGCAAAAAGTGATCAGTGGATGAACTTTATTTTTAATGAAGTTCCAGATCGCGTCAGTTAGAACTTGGTTGTTTGTTCACTTCATTTTACCATGGATTCGTTTACAATAGTAGTAAACTGCAGTTGCATATTTCATTGCAAGCCTTTTGGTGGCAAAGCAAGCGTCAGTGTGCCTGATAGCCATAGTCCTCAATTCAAGAAATGTCTTCTGGGTAATGTAGTTTCCAGTGGCTCAGTGTTTTATTATGTTGTGTAATAGTTTTTAGTTGCAAAAAAAAAAAGAAATCTCTTGTCTTGATGTACCTTCCAATGGCAGCCATACATATGTGACTTGGATAAAACAGTCTCCAGCTTTTTGGAAATTAAGGTTTTGCAGAATTCTGTGCTTAAGCGTGCTGTCTGTGCTTGGAAAGTGACCGTCCTGTGATTCTTCAACCATGGTGACATACACAACATTGACAAACAAAGAAAACAAAGGGGCGAGACTATGCTAATGAGTGGACGGATGGCGGTCACAGGACAAAAAAGAGGGTGAAAAGAAATACAAGTTTAAAAATGGTGGCATAAGAGAGTGAGGAGAACAACACTAGAATGAGGATGAATAAAATGATGGGCTGAAACATCTGGGTGAATAACCGGCAGGATTAACGAACATGCATTAAAAAACAGGGGTGCGTGGGAAGACAGGATAAGAGAGAAAGAGAGAAAGGTTTAGATATTATAGCCATTAACATTTTCTGTTTGCATAGTTTACAAACTATGCAAATCTTGGCAAATAAAAAAAATATGCTGCATTTTGCTAAATGTTAAAAGCAGTCAGGAGATGAACTCTGAAATATGTAGTGCTTTCTTGTTCTTCACTATCAAACTCACTCCCTTTAAAGGAATAGTTCACCTCATAATGAAAATCGTCATAATTTCCTGTGATTCTCTTTCCTTATGTGGAATTTAAAGGGGTCATGAACTGAGAAATCAAAATTCACTTGATCTTTTAACATGTAAGAGGTCATTGTACTATAAAAACATCCTGTAAGTTTCAGAACTCAAAACTTTCTCATTATTCTAAAACAGCTTATATTGAAGCCAATCTGCCAAAATGACAGTTTGTGGAATGTGACACTTTATGACGTAATAAGTGTCTAAACACCGCCTCCGCAGAAGAAAATAAATGCCTACTTCTACATCACTGCCTGTTTAGCTCGGCCCACCGATTCGCGCACATAGTGTAAATAACTAGAGAGGCAAACGCAGATCTACAAAGAAACCAAATGACAAAGATGCTCCGAACACAACAAAACGCTGTTCAGTGCCAAGTTGTGGAAAAACAGTCTTTGCATCGCCTTCCTTCTGATCCCAACATTAGCAAAAAGTGATCAGTGGATGAACTTTATTTTTAATGAAGTTCCAGATCGCGTCAGTTAGAACTTGGTTGTTTGTTCACTTCATTTTACCATGGATTCGTTTACAAACAAGGCACAATTCGACACAGGATTTTCAGAAAGATTGAAACTAAGAGACGATGCTGTGCGACTATATTGGATCCGATAGTAATGTCGCACCAGACAAGTGTGAGTAACTGTTTGTATTATGTGGTCACTATTGCTTTGTCTGTTATCACAGATCATTTGATATGTACGGAGTATTTATGCGTTTTTAATCTAAATCACACCAGCGTCCATCTATGAAGGATGTAGCTGTCAAACATACACAACTGTTATCATAGCAGTGGGTGTTTACTTCCGAGTCTACAATCCGCCACACCTATTCAAACAAAGCGTTCCGATGAGGGGGTCAAAACAGGACAGAAAATAGCCTACTATTTCTAAATCATGATGTTTTTTCTAGGTAAAAATCTTGAGTAATAATAAAAAAGGCAGTTCATGACCTCTTTAAATAAAAGTATGACTTTGCATTATTTGGCTTTCTCCTCATTATACACTTTCTCCTCAATTAATGTTTCACATCTGTAAAATCAAATATCACATGTTCTGGCATGTCTTGTGACCAGTTGTCATTGATGTCAAAATCGACATGATGAACCTTATTGCAAATGAATCTTTTAGTGAATTAAAACCCTATTTTTTTTTTTATCTGTTTCTCTGTTGTATGGATTTAGAAGACTTAGAATAGAGTTCATTGTACGGACTACTTATATGGTGCCCTTTTTTGAGTTTGATTGTCCCTGGGGCCAGTTGCATAAACATAGCCACTATGTTAAGACTGTGTCTTAAGAACTAGTTTAACCAACTAGCAGTTAACCAAGAGATAATTACTTGTCTGATTAATGTTGGGCCGATTTACATTTTTGTAACTGACTTTAAACAGTTATGACCAGTCTAGAAGAAAAAAAAATTAGATGGCTAACATTTTAAGACTAGTCTAAGCAGTTTATGCAACCGGGCCCTGGTCACTGTTCCACGGAAGAAAGAGAATCAAGGGTGAGTAAATAACAGAACTTTGAATTTTGGGTGAACAATTCCTTTATGGTGTGTCAAACATTCTTGTTGTGCTTCACATAGACACACAGACTCTTGCCAGACTCACAGATAATGGTTCTTCTGAATCTCTTTCCTCAGGTTTTGGGACTTCAAGTCGGTCTATAAACCCCTGCAGCTCCTTCCTGAAAGCTTTCATTTGAGCGTTGATGCGGTAGAGTAGCTCGTGCTCTCTGATTCGCCCACCATCGTCATCATCTTCCATACGGCCGAAAAGATCCCCATTAGCTACGATCACCCTTGCCTCTGCAATGATGGTACTGGTGTCGGCTATGAGCTGGTCAATGGTTCGCCCCAAATGCTCCGCTTCCGCTCGGATGTCAATCATCTGTTGCCTGTCCCGTATGGAGCGTGAGAGGAGCCGAGCGGATTCAGGAGAATAAAGAGAACGAGTTGGTGTGAGGCACCGAGCACTGCGGACTTCCTCCGAGTCACTTTCTCCTCCAACAGGACCCTCACGTTTGCGATGGGGAGGGAGGCGAGAGGAAGACGAGTCGTCATCGCTACCTCTACGCCCTCCGATTCCAGGACCAGTGTCACTCTCTGTGTCGCTATCCCGTGGTGTGATGGCTAGGTGAGATGCTAGATCATACCTTTGCATGTTGGAAAGCAGCACACGGTTCTCATACTGCAGTTGCATCACTTTCCCACTCAGTTCATTGATCTGCTTCCTTGCTGCCTTCAGCTCCTCCTGCAATGCCTCGGCTTTGGAGCTATCTCCTGCTCCACTGGCGGCACCCGTTGCATTGCCACCCGAGGTGTGCCTTGTACCCTCTTTAAAGCGCAGTTTGTTCAGGTCGCATGTCACTCTCTTATTCTGTTCCTCTACATCGGCCAGGTTTCTTCTTAGAAGTTCCGCCTCGTCCTCCACCAACTGCAGTTGTTGCCTTAGCTCCGACAGCTCCGACCCCTTCTCTCGCCCCATCCCTCCTTTCGCTCCGGACAAGCCCCCATTAGATGACTCTTCCCCTCGAAGATCATCCAACTCCGCCCTCAAGCCACGGTTCTCCACCTCCAATTCGACTATTTTACGTCCCAAGATGTTGGCCTCTTCTTCCACCAATCGCAAGCGGAGTTTAAGCTCGGATTCCCTTGTAGTGGGAGGGCCACCAGCTTCACCCTTTGGATGAGGGCTGTCCAGATCTCCATAGAAAGAACGATACTTTTGGAGTTCTTGTTCCAAACGGTCCTTTTCCTTGTCAACTGTGGCCATTTTCTTTCTCATCAAGGTAGCCTCCTCTTTAATGAAGGTCAGCTGGCATTTCAGGTCCTCATTGTCCTCCTTATGGACAAAAGTGCTGTGTTAAAGTGCTGGCACAATTTTGGCAAGATTTTGAGGACAAAAAAGATCCATTGTTGATGTTTTTGCAATGTATGAAGCACAGCCCAAATATAAGTGACTTTTAAACCAAATAGCTTTCTGTTGGTGAAAAAAGCTTATTTTGTATGGAAGCCTGTTTCCACCACTGAAAATAAAACCAGGTAATTGCGACTTTTTATCTCACAATTCTGACTTTTTTTCTCAGAATTGCGAGTTCATATCTCGCAATTCTGACTTTATAACTCGCAATTGCGTGTTATAAAGTTAGAATTGCAAGATATGAACTTGCAATTAGAAAAAAAGTCAGAATTGCGAGTTTATATCACACAATTCTGAGAAAAAATCTGAATTGTGAGATAAAAAAAAGTCGCAATTACCTTGTTTTATTTTTTTTTTTTAGTGGCGGAAACGGGCTTCCATATATTTGCATGACCGACATGAGTACAAGCAAAACCTGAATGCGCAACTTTGTCTCCTTGCCCACAAAATTTCATAGAGCAAAGGTAAATGTGAGAACAGCTTTACATTTTATGTATTGATACAATTTTTGTTTGATTACATGGCATCTTTTCATTCTGTACACTCTTAAAAATGCTGGGTTAATTATAACCCAGCGCTGGGTTAAAAAGGGACAAACCCAGCTATTGGGTTGTTTTGACCCAGCGGTTGGGTTCAAAACAACCCGATAACAGTCACTTTTGATCAGTTAAAATACATTTTCAATTACATTTTGTCTAGAATTTAAATTATAACTATTTATATAATACGCATAATGCACTTGGCTTGCAGTCATGCAA